TCGTGCTTTAGACAATGTGTGTTTTAATTTCAGTTGTTCAACATTGATGTTCAGTAAAACAGTGGTTCTCAAAGTGGGGGTCGGGACCCCTTGAGGGGTCGCGGAACAATGAAGGGGGGTCACCTGGTGATTTCCAAAAATCGACTTATTATTATTAGACCATAAGAATTACCATATTTTTATCCATAACCAACTGATGAGAAAAAAACAGCCGTTTATAGTTACTATAGTAGCTTATTTACTTGTTCTATTGGATTTTGACCCTGGGGTAAATACATTATTTTAAAGACAGCATTAGCGTCAGATGCAGCAGATTGATTTTATAACACCAGGTTAAACTTTCTAGCCCATTTACAGCACTGAAATACATAAAAAAAAATTAAACGAAGAATAGACTTTGGTCTATTGGTGTGTGTGTGCGCCATTGCATGCAAGTTTTCTGTATTTATAACCACCTCAGGGGATATTGGGGGTCGCGAGTCACTGGTATTGTTATTTTAGGGGTCGCGTGCTGAAAAGTTTGGGAACCCCTGCAGTAAAACATCGTAGATAATAGATAGTATGTGTTTCTTTCAACTATTTTAAAATCAAGTAACACACCCTACATTTAAAAATCTCTCACTTGTAATATGTGAGCATATTTACTGTACAAAACTTGTTAGTGAACTATAAGTGCGAAAAAATGAATCAAATAAATAAATAAAATAATCGTTTAATAATTGCAATCGAGTTAAAATGTTCAATTAATGGATTTTGATTTTAGGCCAAATCGCCCAGCCCTAGTTTGAATTTAAATGTACTACTCGACCGTTAGAAAAGTGTTACTGTGTCACATTTCAGAGGCTGTATCCTCCGAAGGATGCAGACTTCAAAGGTGAGTCCTTTTGAAGTCTACACAGTCCGAACTGAGCATTTTGAAAAGAGACGATCAAGACTTCAGGATCTAGACTAGGACAGATCTCTCAGCTGCCGTTAATAAGTGGTAATAAAATTTGTAATTATTTTTTTTTCTCAAAATGATTTTAAAACTTATTGAAAGCGATCTAAAGGCAAAGCGAGGTATACATAAGCGGGAAATATATTTCCTTTGATCCATACATGTAGACATAAACGTAAACTGTCTATAAAATCACTCTTTCGTAAGACATGTCATACTCTTTTTGTTTTTTAACATGTGTTTACATATGCACATAAAATAAACCTAATTTGTACATTTAATCCAGAGTTTTGTTTTAAAAACATCCTGCCGTTATCAGTGTTCAATGAATCTTGAGCCATTCGAGGCCGCGAAGGATCCACCAGTTGTGTCCTTTATTACCTGAGAAACAAATGACACATTTGGAGGCTGCCTTTAAAGGAGCTTTGAATGTTTTTGAAATGAGATGGCCTTTGGCATGCCGAATATCCTGCAGGGCATCATATTGTAGCGTAGCGTCTGTCCGATGCCCACTTTAGAATCTTGCTTGAAGTAGTAGATCATCCGGGTACTTCTTGCATACTTATTTTTGAATTCTCTGCATGGACTCATCTATGGATTTTAATTTACTATATAATATGGAAGTATGCGGTTTTGAACACAGCCATTGATTATCGTTTTCCAAAACTTGCAAAATTTTTCAGAAAGTTTCAGGCCACCCACCATGCTTATGTGATTTAAACTAATGGACAAAATGTTTTATTGAAATTTCTACATGGAAACAATGAAATGATACCGCTTTCTAAATGTAACCACATATTCCTGTAGCTAATCTTTCTATCATACAGATCTAATTGAAACAAATTCCTGGGAAATCAAGAGGCTTACATTTTCCAAGAAGTAAAATGCATTAACAACTGTGTCTGCAAAAAGACAAAAAAAAAAAAAAGAAAAGAAACTGAAACGCATTTATTAGATTTTGTGGAATGGAAATACATCAAAGATTCTTGGGATTAAAGTGGATTTTAAAGGGCAGTATGTGTCAGTCGTTGAGTTTTCCTCCACTTGTCAGCGTCTGGTGAGCTGTGATTCATTGGCTCCCGCCTCAGTGGGAACGTTTTTGGTCTGACACGCCACTCAACAGGGTTTCCGGCCTGCGTCTGCTTACTTCAGGCCAGCTGGAATCAACAGCTCACGGAAACCTAGCAGAAAGTCGGTTCTGCTTGATGGAAGCCTGTTTCCAAAATAACACCAGAAAGGAAACCACGCAGCTGTGAGAAAACGTGCAAAGGAATAGATTGAGGATCAGTCACACACTTTTATCTCCTGACACATACAGATACACAAGAAAACGAAGGGCCAATGATATCACTTCCTGTGGAGGCTGATATACAGAATCTTAAATTTGAAGATGCTGCGTCATCATTTTCAAACCTTTTCAATTCCACTCATTGTGATGTATTTTTTAAATAAAGTGCTTAAATATTATGAATCTAAAATGCATAAGAGGCATATTTGATATTCAGAATTTAATTCATATGGATTTAAAAAAAAGGTTCAGACAGTGTGCAAATGTGTTATTACTCATAAAAAGTAAATCTTATTTTTTTTCAGAATTATTATTTTTTTAAGCATCAAAACAAAGAAAGTATAATACAGCTTTTGAATTTCTCTCA